GAGCCATCCGGGGCAGTCCACAGCTCAGGAATAAGGCACCACGCTCACTGTGAGCCTCACACAGCTACTATTCCATAATGTCTGGGACAGGGCAAAAAGCCTCATACTGCACACAACTGTACACAATCACACACACACACACACACACACACACACAAACAATGCCCCTTCTTCTCTCCCTCACCCCTCTACCTAGGTGAATCAGAGTGTGTGAATAATGTATGAAGTACAAGCTGTAAAGGCCTGCCCAGCCACAACCCCGCCAGATGAAGATTTAAACTTTACTTCGATGCGTTCAAATAGACTGAAAACACAGTCTGCATACATAACTGCTGTCTGTTGGTAGGCCTACCTTCGTCACATTGCTCCTATAGACCATTGGCTGTAGACATACAGTGAGGGAAAAAAGTATTTGATCCCCTGATGATTTTGTACGTTTTCCCACTGACAAAGAAATTATCAGTCTGTAATTTTAATGGTAGGTTTATTTGAACAGTGAGAGACAGAATAACAACAACAAAATCCAGAAAAACTAATGTCAAAAATGTTATAAATTGATTTGCATTTTAATGAGGGAAATAAGTATTTGACCCCTCTGCAAAACATGACTTAGTACTTGGTGGCAAAACCCTTGTTGGCAATCACAGAGGTCAGACGTTTCTTGTAGTTGGCCACCAGGTTTGCACACATCTCAGGAGGGATTTTGTCCCACTCCTCTTTGCAGATCTTCTCCAAGTCATTAAGGTTTCGAGGCTGACGCTTGGCAACTCAAACCTTCAGCTCCCTCCACAGATTTTCTATGGGATGAAGGTCTGGAGACTGGCTAGGCCACTCCAGGACCTTAATGTGCTTCTTCTTGAGCCACTCCTTTGTTGCCTTGGCCGTGTGTTTTGGTTCATTGTCATGCTGGAATACCCATCCACGACACATTTTCAATGCCCTGGTTGAGGGAAGGAGGTTCTCCCCAAGATTTGTCGGTACATGGCCCCGTCCATCGTCCCTTTGATGCGGTGAAGTTGTCCTGTCCCCTTAGCAGAAAAACACCCCCAAAGCATAATGTTTCCACCTCCATGTTTGACGGTGGGGATGGTGTTCTTGGGGTCATAGGCAGCATTCCTCCTCCTCCAAACACGGCGAGTTGAGTTGATGCCAAAGAGCTCCATTTTGGTCTCATCTGACCACAACACTTTCACCCAGTTCTCCTTTGAATCATTCAGATGTTCATTGGCAAACTTCAGACGGCCATGTACAGTGGTGTGAAAAAGTGTTTGCCCCCTTCCTGATTTCTTATTTGTTTGCATGTTTGTCACACTTAAATGTTTCAGATCATCAAACAAATTTAAATATTAGTCAAAGATAACACAAGTAAACACAAAATTCAGTTTTGAAATGAAGGTTGTTATTATTAAGGGAAAACAAAATCCAAACCCACATGGCCCTGTGTGAAAAAGTGATTGCCCCCTACAACCTAATAACTGGTTGGGCCACCCTTAGCAGCAACAACTGCAATCAAGCGTTTGCAATAACTTGCAATGAGTCTTTTACAGCGCTGTGGAGGAATTTTGGCCCACTCATCTTTGCAGAATTGTTGTAATGTCAGCCACATTGGAGGGTTTTCGAGCATGAATTGCCTTTTTAAGGTCATGCCACATCATCTCAATAGGATTCAGGTCAGGACTTTGACTAGGCCACTCCAAAGTCTTCATTTTGTTTTTCTTCAGCCATTCAGAGGTGGACTTGCTGGTGTGTTTTGGATCATTGTCCTGCTGCAGAACCCAAGTTCGCTTCAGCTTGAGATCACGAACAGATGGCCGGACATTCTCCTTCAGGATTTTTTGGTAGACAGCAGAATTCAATGTTCCATTTATCACAGCAAGTCTTCCAGGTCCTGAAGCAGCAAAACAGGCCCAGACCATCACACTACCACTACCATATTTTACTGTTGGTATGATGTTATTTTTCTGAAATGCGGCGTTACTTTTACGCCAGATGTGATGGGACACACACCTTCCAAAAAGTTCAACTTTTGTCTCGTCAGTCCACAGAATATTTTCCAAAAGGTCTTGGGGATCATCAAGATGTTTTCTGGCAAAGATGAGATGAGCCTTAATATTATTTTTGCTCAGCAGTGGTTATCGTCTTGGAACTCTGCCATGCAGGCCATTTTTGCCCAGTCTCTTTCTTATGGTGGAGTCATGAACACTGACCTTAACTGAGGCAAGTGAGGCCTGCAGCTCTTTGGACGTTGTTGTGGGTTCTTTTGTGACCTCTTGGATGAGTCGTCGCTGCGCTCTTGGAGTAATTTTGGTCGGCCGGCCACTCCTGGGATGGTTCACCACTGTTCCATGTTTTTGCCATTTGTGGATAACGGCTCTCACAGTGGTTCGCTGGAGTCCCAAAGCCTTAGAAATGTCTTTATAACCTTTTCCAGACTGATGGATCTCAATTACTTTCTTTCTCATTTGTTCCTGAATTTCTTTGGATCTCGGCATGATGTCTAGCTTTTGAGGATCTTTTGGTCTACTTCACTTTGTCAGGCAGGTCCTATTTAAGTGATCCCTTGATTGAGAACAGGTGTGGCAGTAATCAGGCCTGGGTGTGGCTAGAGGAATTGAACTCAGGTGTGATAAACCACAGTTGAGTTGTCTTATAACAGGAGGGGAAAACACTTTTTCACACAGGGCCATGTAGGTTTGGATTTTGTTTTCCCTTAATAATAACAACCTTCCTTTCAAAACTGCATTTCGTGTTTCCTTGTGTTATCTTTGACTAATATTTAAATGTGTTTGATGATCTGAAACATTTTAGTGTGACAAACATGCAAACAAACAACAAATCAGGAAGGGGGCAAAAAAAAATTCACACCACTGTATATGTGCTTTCTTGAGCAGGGGGACATTGCGGGCGCTGCAGGATTTCAGTCCTTCACGGCATAGTGTGTTACCAATTGTTTTCTTGGTGACTATGGTCCCAGCTGCCTTGAGATCATTGACAAGATCCTCCCGTGTAGTTCTGGGCTGATTCCTCACCGTTCTCATGATCATTGCAACTCCACGAGGTGGGTCAAATACTTATTTCCCTCATTAAAATGCAAATCAGTTTCTAACATTTTTGACATGCGTTTTTCTGGATTTTTTTGTTGTTATTCTGTCTCTCACTGTTCAAATAAACCTACCATTAATATTATAGACCGATCATTTCTTTGTCAGTGAGCAAACGTACAAAATCAGCAGGGGATCAAATACTTTTTTCCCTCACTGTAGGGGTTCCATGACCAAACTACTTTTGGATTCAGTATTCTAGACTGATGCTGTACTGACATTTAAGTACAGCCCATTTTAATGTATGGTATTATGCTGATTCATGTTGGACACAGAGTACATATCCTCAATGAATATCAACTTGTTCCCAGTCAAAACCTGCAGTTTTCCATCAAACCTGACCTTGTCCTTACAATGGTAGTTATGTGAAAAACCACCATATACAAATATAACTTCACTCCCCTTTCAACCAGGACTCAGGGGTAGACGTAACATATTAAAAGTAAATCCGAGAAACACCAATTAGTATGATGTGTTACGTTTCGTATGGTATGTATTAATTTGTGGATGTCCATCATCCATTTCGCATGATATGTTACGAATTGCAATTCGTACAATATGTTACGAATTGCAATTTGTACAATATGTTACGAATTTGTAAAAACATATGATATGTTACGAATTCCAATTTGTTGTGGCTAACGTTAGTTAGGTAACTAGGTGGCTAACGATAGCTAGGTGGCTGACGTTAGCTAGGGGTTAGGGTTAGGGGTTATGGTTAAGGTTAGGAGTTAGGTTAAAGGTGTAAGGTTAGGGTTAGGGTTAGGGGACGGGTTAGCTAACATGCTAAGTAGTTGCAAAGTAGCTAAAAAGTAGTAAGTAGTTGCAAAGTTTCTAATTAGTTAAAATGCTAAAGTTGTCCGTGATGAGATTCAAACACGCAGCCTTCGGGTTGCTAAACGTTCATGTTATACGCCTACCCATCCACTCCGACCTACCACCCTACTTTCGTTTTTGCCTTAAGTAACCTTCTGTCTTATGTAACCATACCATACCAAACGTAAGATATCATACTAATTTGGGTGTCCTGGATTTACGTTGACTATGTTACGTCTACTCTATGTGACCAGGCTGCCCTTTCCCCTCAGGAATGTTGGTCGCCATGCCAGCCTGAATTCTCTTAATGCTCTAAATCTGGAACATTATTTTTCAAAGTCACCTGTCGGGAGGCTGGTTTTGTGCCACCAAGTCCTCCAGGCTTTTTTGGAAGGCTCTGTGACCTGTTTAGCTCTTTCATCATGTCTTTATGTACCGAATGCAAATGGCCGGCAACAAAGTAAACAGTACATGATAGAGTTGGGAGCGGAGTGGAAGGCCTAACAGCAAACAAACCCATCGGTATAAACCGCTTGGAATATTCACACAGGACCCGAGTCTCTCTCTGGAGCTAGGGCCATGGCTTTATTTTATGCCAATAATTGTAAGGGTTGGTGTGAGGTGTGACCCAGGTGCGGTGCAGGATAGACAGTAGGCAGTAGGCAGAGATGGTGAAACAAGGATCTTTACTGTTGTTCCCAAAACCAGGATACAAAATAACAGACTTGTAACAATAAAATAAAGGAGGAGCAAATTGGTCTCCAAAAACAGGCCGATAGCAAACATGTGAAATACTAACTACGACTGAAAACAACAATGAAACAGGGAGAACACTTCTCAAGTACCTGTACATACGTCTCGCGATCAGACACTGATTAGTGATTAAAAGTTTTTATTCAAAAACCCACACCATACATCATCATACACATTACAGACACCATTAATTCCCAACCCCAACATCACTAAAAGTAACAATACAAAACTACCCAACACAATACATATCAAACACCCACACAACCGAACAATAACAGAAATTACACCCCAGGCTAAAAACACACACAAAAGTCCTAAATCCCTACCCCTCTACACTAACTCTAAACCCCCCTTCCACCTCTCCCGAGCAGCATGCTGCCCCCACTTCCTCTCCTCTCTCTTCATTCTCCCCCTCAAATGCTGCTCCACCCTCCTCACTATCCCATCCACATCCCCTTCTCTCCCTGTCCTTTCCATTTTCTGCCTAGCTTCCCACAACTCCCGTTTAAAGAGGCTTATGTGAAGCCAGAGCAGAAACCTGTCCCTAACCGTCCCCCTCGCTTTCCCTACACCTCTCTCTACCCTAGCCCACGTCACAACAAAATCCCCCCTCACCCTGCCTATCAACACCTTTGCCCTAGCCCATACCACCCCGGCGAAAGCACAGCCCCAAAAAACATGGCGCAATGTCTCCTCCCCGCCACAAGTTGGTCTTGGGCAGGTGGGGGATCGTGTCATACCACGCCCGTACATGATGGAACACATGGGCAAGCACTTATGGAGGCTCAACCAATCCAGGTCCTTGAGCCCGTTGTCCAGACCACGCACCTGCACTCCTTCCCAGACCACAGCCGGGATACTCACTACGGGCCCTGGACACAATCCCTGTCTCACCTACTCGTACAGGTGCCTGTGATCTAAACCTAATCGGGCAACTTCAACCTCGGGGTGCGCACGCAGCCACTTGGCCGCATAGCCAAAGTGCCACGGCAGCTGTTCCGTGCAAGGACCCGTGTTAGACCACACCATTATGCTTCTCGCCTGGTAAGAGAGAACACCCGCAGGAAGTAACCAGACGGGTGTATCACCGGAGGAGCCAGCTCTGTCAACAAAAAAGAAAAAAAAATCGAGTCCAGCTTGAGTGGGAAATGTGGTACCCCCCTACCTCCCTCCCCGATGGGACAGAGCATGCGAACCCTCGCGACACGCTCAAGCCTGCCACTCCTCAGACTAGCTGGCAATGGGTAGACGTACGCCATATACAAAAGAGACAGCAACACATCCACCTTGAGGACCAGGACCTTGCCTATATAGGAAAACGACCTAGCCCTCCACATCCCCAGCTTCCTCTGTACCACTGCGATGCTCCTGTTCCAGTTCAGCGTTGCTGAGCCGGAGGTCTCAAACAAGACCCTGAGAATCTTCAGGGCCCCGATACAGAGAGATAACCCCCCAGGCACATCTGTCCTCCCACGCTATCTTCCGAAAAACTTAACAGAAGACTTAGCGTGATTGAGAACCACTCCCAACGCTCGGGTGAATTCCCCAATGATGGCAAGGGACCTAGTCAGGCACGAGTCCTTGCATAGTAACAAGGAAGTGTCGTCGGCGTACTGCGTCATCTTAACGTGCAGCCCACCGCTCCCAGGGATAAGCAAGCCCTCCACCCCTGTGTCTGCCCTAATGGCAGCCCCCACAGGCTCCATGTACAGAACGAAGAGGAGTGCCGAGAGCGGGCACCCCTGCCTGACCCCCGACGTGAGGTCAAAAACGTCACCTATGTGACCGTTTACATTAACCCGGCACCCTGCTCCGACGTATAAAGCACGGAACCACCCTATATACTTCTCCCCAAAACCTAACCTACCTAACACCCTGAAAAGAAAATATCTATTCACTCGATCAAAGGCTTTAGCCTGTTCAAGTGCTGCTACCATTAATGGCAGCCCTCTATCCTCTACCCAAGCGATGGAGTCCCTAATCAAACTCAGGTTCCACCTAATAGAGCGGCCCTCTATCCCACACGTCTGATCCTCATGGACGACGTAGGGAAGGGCTGTGCGCAACCGGTCTGCTAGAACCTTCGCAAGCATCTTATAATCTACGCACAGCATGGTCAACGGCCACCAGTTGCCAAGGTCTGTTGTGTCCCCCTTCTTGTAAAGAAGTGACAGCACACCTACGGCCATCAATCCCCTTGGGACCCCCATCTCGAGGATGGCCTTCAAGACTTCAAGGACTACTGGACCAAGTTTCCCCCAAAACTTCAGGTAAAACTCTGCCGGCCATCCATCCCGGGCACCTTCCCTTTTCCCATCCTCCTGAGGGCGCTCTCAACATCTTCGAGGGGATCTGAGCCTCCATCGCTTCTCTAATGTCCTCCAGCACTCGCCGGGACAGGTGTTCTAAAAACATGTTTCCCTGCTCTACATCTACTGCCCTTTCTTGAAAAAACCTCGGAAATGTTCCGTGGTCACCTTGACAATTTCCTCAGTTTCTCTCACTACTCTACCGTTTTCTTCCCTAACCCTGTACATTACCTTCCTACTCTGTCTTCCCCTAACTAATTTAAAGAACACGGTGGAATAAGTCTCGTCGTGTTCTAAAAACCCACTATGCGCACGCTCCAGGAAAGCGCAAGCCTTCCGCTCATGCACCTCCCTAAGTTGAGCTTTTAGGGCAGAGGATCTCTCCCAATCTACCGACCCGCAGAGGTTGCCTGCCTCGAGCTCGAGTTCGAGCAGCCTTTGGATATGATCTACATCCCTCCTTTCCTCCCTCTTTTTCCTCTTACAATATCCTATTATAAAAACCCTAATCCTGTGCGTTGGGGGTGGTCCAGCGAGGACACAGGAGATTCTTCCCCCACAGCGCCCTTCTCCCCCATTACACGCTTGCCCCCCCCCTCTCCCCCACCACCCATTTCCCTCTTCCTGTCCGAGGATCTCCCCCTCCTCTTCCCTCTCTTCTTTGGAGACGCCGGCAGTGGGGAGACCCAGCCCCCCTTGATCACCAGCTCCTCCATCATCTCCCTCACCTCATCCCCCTGGGCCCTCGACATCTCGCTTTCCCCCCACTTCGGCCCCCCCTCTCCCCCCTGCTTCTGGCCCTGTGCTTGGGTCTGGAACTCCTCCTCCTCTTCTTCCTCCATCCCCCGCTTCTGCCCCTGCTCCCCCACCAGCTGCAGCTGCATACAACTTGTGACGAGCCGTACACTCCCTCCACAGGTGTGCTGACGATCCACACCCGTGGCACTTCTTCGACTCGTCACAGTCCCTCGCCTCGTGTGCCTCAGACCCACACACCCTGCATTTCTTCTCCCCACATGAGGCGAAATTATGGCCATAGGCCATGCATCGTCTGCAGAAAGGGGGCTGACAGGCATACAACAACGTCCCCATGTCAGCCCACAGAGCTGGAGGATGAAGGTAACCTCCCAGGCCCATTGGGTCTTCCCTCAACAGATCCTGGAAGCTTCTCTTCCCGTTCCAGAACCCTAGCGAGTCTTTGAGGAGCCTTGCCGAGGAGACATTGTCCATATACCTCCCCATAAAAGCCCTCACCTCCTCGTCCTTAACATGCGGGTTATACATGTTTACTGTTATTACCCTGAAGTTGTTCTTGGCCAAGCTTGTCACCTCGTAGTGGCACATCGGCCTGGCCTTCTCCACCTCCCTCGCCTTTTTCATGACCTCGTCATGCTTCCCCTCTGTGTGTAAAACCACATCATAAGCCCCTTCCAAGGGGTTCGCCTGGAGGCACATCACGTCCTTTACCGCCAGCTTTAACACTCCCATCAACAAAGTCCTCCCAAATGTTTCCCTTCCAAAAGGCTCCATGTCCTTCTCCTTCCACGCAAACGTAACTGCGTTCGTGATCCCAATCCTGGGAATTGCCCTAAAATTAGCATTTTTTGCCATCTCCGCGAGGAGAATAGCGCCCACACCACTGCTCCGACTCTCCTCTATATTAGTTACAAACAATTTTAAACTATTTTAATTGATTTAAGCCACCGCTAGCTTCCTTCTTAGACAGTCATAGTACTGCTGAGCATCGAGAAACTAGCAGAGAAAACTGAGCAAGGGAACACAGGGAAGTGAGGACCCCTCCCCACCCGCCGGCAGTCCAGGATCCGGTCCACAGTAAAATCCGGCTGCCCTCTTACGAGTTTCAGACGGTAGGCCACTGGGTTGACTCGTTGGACCACTCTGAATGGGCAGACGAACCGGGGGGTCCCGCGTGGAGAGCCACACCCTCTGTCCGGGTGTGGCTCTCCAGGTGCGGCGACAGCGACTGATGCGGGCCTGGACCGACGGGACCACTGCCTCCTCCTCTTGCTCGGAGAATAGGGGGGGGGGGGGGGGGGGGGGTGTGGGTGAACCCGGTATTGACCTGGGGGGGGGGGGCAAGCGAGAAGGGTGTTGTGGGCGTACTCCGCCCACGCCAATTGCTGACTCCACGTAGCTGGGTTGCTGGAGGTGTAGCACCTCAGCACCCCCTCCAGATCCTGGTTGACGCACTCCGTCTGCCCGTTCGACTGGGAATGGAAGCCGGAAGACAAGCTGATGGAGGTGCCAAGGCAGGTGGCGAACGCCTTCCAGAACCTGGAGGCGAACTGCGGACCCCGATCCGACACCACATCTTGGGGAAGGCCATGTACCTGGAAAACGTGCTGCACCACCAACTTAGCCGTCTCCCGAGCTGACGGGAGTTTGAGAAGGGGAATGAAGTGGGCAGCCTTCCACAATGACCAGGATGACTGTGTATCCATCAGAGGGGGGTAGGGCGGAAATTAAATCCAGCGAGATGTGGGACCAGGGGCACTTGGTGATAGGCAGGGGTCGGAGCAGCCTTGCCATGGGCTGATGTGAGCTCTTCGTGCGCAAGCACACCGGGCAAGCCACCACAAAGGCGTGCGTATCCCCCTCAGCTGATGGCCACCAGAACCTCCTACGCAGGAACACCAACGTCCTGGTGCCCCCCGGATGGCTGGTGAGGTCGGACGCGTGCACCCATTGAAGCAGTCGCTGGCGCGCAACCTTGGGTACGTACATTCTCCCCGATAGACCTCCGCCCGGATCGGGCTCCCGCCGTAGCGCTGCTCTGACCTGCCTATCGATTCCCCATGAAACTGGGTCAGCAATCAGGGTGTTGGAGACAATGGGGTCGTCCCTCTCCACCAGGTCCATGGGGTCGAACTACCAGGAGAGCGTTTCAGGCTTTGTGTTCTTCGACCCCAGACGGTATGAGATCGTGAACCGGAACCTGGTGAAGAACAACGCCCACCTGGCCTGGCGTGTGTTGAGCCTCTTGGCCCCTTGAATGTAGGCTAAGTTCCTATGGTCAGTCCATACGATGAATGGATGGGCGGCTCCCTCTAGCCAATGCCTCCACTCCCTCAGGGCGAGCTTGACCGCTAGCAGCTCACGGTTCACCACGTCGTAATTCTGCTCCGCCGGGGACAGCCGACGGGAGAAAAACGCACAGGGGTGTGTCTTACCGTCCGTGAGGAACCGCTAGGACAGGATTTCTCCCACCGCAACGTCTGAAGCATCCACCTCCACAATGAACTGTAGGGACGGATCAGGATGCCCTAGGACCGGGGCCGATGTAAAGTGCTGCTTAAGTGCATCAAATGTGTTCCCCGCTTCCGGGGTCCAGGCGAAGGGGTGGACGCTCATCTGGGTGAGGGCTGTCAGGGGAGCGGCTAGGGAGCTAAAATTGCGAATAAATCACCTATAAAAATTTGCAAACCCTAAAAACCGTTGTAGTTGCTTGAGGGATGAGGGCTGGGGCTAATCCAGTACCGTGCTGACCTTGGCTGGGTCCATCTGTAGATCCCCCTTGGTGACGATGAACCCCAGGAAGGAGACAGTATCTGTGTGGAACACACACTTCTCCGCCTTGATGTAGAGCTGGTGACGGAGAAGGCGTTAGAGGACCTGCCAAACGTGCTGCTGGTGTTCACTCATGTCCTTTGAAAATATTAAGATGTTATCCAAATACACAAAGACACTGTAGTCGAGGAGGTCCCAGAGCACGTCATTGACCAACGCCTTGAACACTGCAGGTGCGTTGGCTAGACCGAACGGCATGGCTTGCTACTCGTAATGCCTTCTGGGTGTGTTAAAAGCCATCTTCCACTTGTCCCCTTCCCGAATCCTCACCAGGTTGTAGGCATTTCGTAAGTCCAGCTTGGTGAAGACCCGGGCTCCCTGCAACGACTCGAATGCCGTCATCATCGGGGGATTGGGTAGCGGTTCTTAACCGTGATGTCGTTGAGCGCCCGGTAATCAATGCGCGGCCGCTGCCCACAAAGAAGAAGCCCGCACCCGCGGGTGAGGTAGAGGGACGGATGTGACCCTCGATGAGTGCCTCGTCGATATACTCCCTCATGGCCAGCGTCTCTGGCCGGGACAAGGAAAACAATCGTCCTCGTGTGGTCATGGCGCCCAGCAGGAGATCGATAGCGCAGTCGTATGGCCTGTGAGGAGGTAGGCCCTTGGCACGCCTCTTACTAAACACCTCCCCCAGATCCCAATACTCCCGGGGAATGCCTGCCAGGTCTGGGCTGGTGACGGAGTCTGTAGCCGCCGTCCTCCCGGTGGCAACCGCCACTAGGGCGGTAGGCGGTTCGGAGTGCGGGACCTGGGGAAGAGGTGAGGACTGGTAGGTGGTCTGGGACGGTGGTTTGGGCTGATGAGTGGTCAGTGGAGACTGGAACAGGATGGAGGCGGAGCCTCCCTCCAGGATGAGCCGCCCCGTGGACCAGTCTAAACTGGATATTCTCCCATAGCCCCCCTGCCACCAGGACACGCACGGGGACAGTGCGCCGGGTAATGAAGAACCCGACACCAACGGCCGGCCGTCCAGGCCCATGACTAGAACCGGCTTGGAGAGGGAGAGTAACGGAACGCTCCACCCTTGGGCCAGCCCCGCGTCCATCAGGTTTTCCGCGGCCCCCGAATCCACCAGTGCATGCGCCCGACGTGCAGTACGGGCCCACTGAACCCAGACGTGGAAAAAAGTCTGGGAGTCTCTGTGGTTGGGGTTTTGGTTCCGGCTCGCTAGCACCCCTCCCGATATTAGCAAGCCCTCCAATTTCCAGGCTAACCTGTCTGGCCGCAGTACAGGCAACGTCCCTGGCACAGACATCTCTGCTTCTCCATCCTGGACAAGCGCGCCTTGCGTCATCCCTCTCTTGTTAGCGCTCTCACGAAGCCGATTGTCAACCCACACCGAGAGGTCGACGAGGCCGTCCAGTCACTCAGGCAGCTCCCTGAAGGAGAGTTTGTCCTTCATCCCCTCCGATATCCCCTGCACGTAAAGGACGACCATCTGCCTCTCGAGCCCGGGTCCGGAACTCCCACTCCGCGGTAGCCCAGGAAAGGGCCCGACCCATCAACAGAGTGATAATGTAGGCCACCTTGCCCTGCTCCGTCGGGAAGGAAGAGGGTTGTAGGCTGAATACCAGGGAACATTGGGTGAGGAATTCCCTGCAGCCTTCTGGACGGCCGTCGTACCTCTCCGGAGGTGGTAGGCGGGGTTCCCGCGATGTTGCAGGCGAGACTGGAGATGCCGCTGCCGCGGCTTCTGCTCCACCGGCTGCCGGGGCTAGTCGGTTGTCCACCCGGCTCTGCACAGCGATCATCAGCTGGCGGAGATTCTCAGTGATCTGCTGCAGGCTGCGGTCGTGCTGGTTCAGCATAGCTCCCTGCGTTGCCAATGCGCTTCGATACTGTGCTGCCTCCGCTGGGTCCATATTGACTCTGTTTTCTGTAAGGGTTGGTGTGAGGTGTGACCCAGGTGCGGTGAGGGTAGACAGTAGGCAGTAGGCAGAGATGGTGAAACAAGGATCTTTACTGGTGGTCCCAAAACCAGGACACAAAATAACGGACTTGTCACGATAAAATAAAGGAGGAGCAAATTGGTCTCCAAAAACAGGCCGATAGCAAACATACAAAGTACTAACTACAACTGAAAACAACAATGAAAGGGAGAACACTTCTCAAGTACCTGTACATACATCTTGCGATCAGACACTGATTAGTACTGTTTGGCATCAAGAAACTAGCAGAGAAAACAGGGAAGTGAGGGCATAAATACACAGGTGAACAGGTAGACACAGGTGACACCAATAGGATAATGATTAGTCCATACTGTGAATGAGGAGGTGCCTAAGGTTGTCGGAGGATTACACCTCGTGGGTCACTCCGGAACTATGACCCCCTCCTGTAAAAATAGTAGGGGTGCAACAGTACATATATTTGTACCGAACCGTTCGGTACGGGGACATTGGTTCGGTTCTATGAACCCGAATGAATAAATACAAATAAAAACACAATGCCTATAGGCTAGGCCTACGCTGCGTTGTAGTCCTATGCCTGTTGAGTAAATCTGAGCAGAAAAAACATTTCAGGCTATTCCGAAAAAAACACTAGAGCCTATGTGCACGTTGTAATAAAAATTATAATCTTATTGCCGCATTTCAAACTGTCCTTTTGTGAGGCGCAGCTGGGAACTACTTCTGTACGATGGCGAGTGGTGGGGTCGATAAACCAGAATTGGAGGATCCTACATCCTTTAAATCTCCAGTTTGGGAACATTTTGGCTTGCCAGTAGATTACAACAGCGATGGACAGAGAGTTGTGGATAAAACATTAACAGTGTGTTGCCACACTCAACGAGAATAGTCTATGCTGACATCACCCCAGTATAACCGAGCGAGATGGAAACACAAAGAAACAACAACACAACATTGTCTCCCCTCTGCATTCAAGCAGCCCTTGGCAGCTCATTCTGGCCGGGCCAAAGAAATTACAAGAGCGATAAGTAGGCTATTTTGTTTATATTTTTGTTTATAGTCGCGGATATGCACCTATTCTCGGTGGTTGAAAATATGGGGTTTCAGCACCTCTTG